TCACTTCTTTCAGTAATTCTTGTGTCTCCCAGAACAATCATCTACCTACCAGACAGTTCTGGCACTTGCCCTTCTCTCCACTGAGCCACAGAAACTGTGCCAGAAGGATTCAAACCTTGTTGTATGAGAGAAAAAGTATGACTCCATAAACCAGCTGTATTAATTGGAAGAACAAACACTGGCTTCTGGTTCCTCCTCCTCCCCAAAACTTTTTTTCTGTGCATATCTTAGCCATGATCTGAAATCCTGGGAGCTGAGTCTGAATTACGGTGATGATGGGATGGCAACTGAAGTCTTAGGTTATCGTTATTGAAAAAATTAGGAATGTCAGGGCAACATGCAGAGACAATTGCATCTTCTTCTTCCTCCTCCTTCCCATGAGAAAGAATATTCTTCTATTTGAATGAAAGACCATAAGGTCTCCCATAGATAGGGGTCTTAGAGCTGTGAATGCCTAATGGATGGACATGAAGGGGAAACTACAGCTCACCCTTGATGTCAGAAGGAGTCAATGTCAGGCAAGTATAAACTTGAGTATTACTGCTATGGATTTGTGTGATGAGAACTGACATGAAATTGACAATGTATGCTGGCTTGTACCACCGGTCTGGTCTTGTATGCTGCTCTGGGTGATCCAGATGTAGAAATGCAAGGTGTTAATACATGCAAATTTTGGTTGTCTACCACCTGGTTTTGGATATACTCCTCAAATATCCTTTGCTTGCATCAAAACAATGATGTGAATTACATTAGACATTTTGTTAAAACACTTAAAACTGTTGATTTTGAAACATTAAAATCAGCACCAAAATGTTATCTTCAGTGAGGAACTTTGACACAAGTTTCATCTGGAGTTAAGATGAACAGTTCCTCTGTTTATTTAGGCAATTTGACTTTATTTCCTAGAGCTCTAAGGAATAAAGCTAAAGTACTATGATTTTATGCTCCCATGACTGTTTAAATGGGATTGAACCATGAAGTAATATCACCAACTTGCTGCTAAAGTGGGTTTTCCTGTAAAACATACCCATTGCCTTTGATGTTACTAGACTTACTTACTTGTAATGTTCTGTAGCCCACTGAAGTTTTCCCCCTCACTTTTTTCAGTGGAAACAGCAAAGGACTCAGCATAATACAGAGAAATCAGTCTAGATGCAATTCAGCTGGCCACATGCAAAACTCTACAGAATGGAAACTTGTCTCATAGAATTATGGAATGTTTTGGATTGGAAGGGTCCTTTAAAGATCATCTAGTCCACCCCCACTGCCATATCTGAGCCACCTGTTTGGACTCCCCCTATAATCAATGAAGAGAAATAAACATGCCTAGGATTTGAGCCATTCAAAAATAGATATCCAAAGGGGTTAGATGAGTCATTTGCATTTCAGATAGGTGAAGTTAGAGTGAATGAATCCCACTCTACAATACTGAATATAAAAACGTTAGAAGCAGTGATCAGTCAGGAAAGAGCATTAGCATAATATTCCATGAAAGTGCATCGATTATTCATTGATTCATTGACCTTTTTGCACATATATATTTATAATCCAGCCTGCTACGAAATGAGCCCCCCTTTTTGCACAGTCATAATCCAGCCTGCTACGAAATGAGCCCTGCTTACTTTCAGGCTTGGTAGGATAAGACTCGTGTGCTGTACACAGTGCTGTAACAAAAATCCAAGCACCACTACTTCATGGAGTCCTCTGGGTATTCTTATCAAAAACATTTATAGTTATCAATTGACACAAAATAGCAACGGGACATTTTTCTGAGCTGACATCCACTTTTTAATCATGATGTCTGGAATTGTTGAAATGAAAGCTGACAATAAATCCTTGACAGAACAATAAAACCATAAGAGTTTTCTTTTGTGGGGTGTCAGGGAAAGTTGTTTTTGGTTTCACAACAATCTCATCCAAGGTTATGTTCATTTCAATGTTACTCAATAAAATCTAGCAGAAAGAGGAAAGAAGACCTTAGTGCTTTAACTGGAAAAAGCATGTATCATTATAGTCTTAAATAGTATAAAAATAGAGTGATTGAAAGAAAGACAATGTGTTCCTGCCTTTGCCAGGGGAGCTGACCCTCACCTTAAAGTCAAGTCAATTTAACACACACTAATTTAACATGTCAAAGCCAAAAAAACTATTTAATTGCAACAGATAAGACTTCATGCCTGAGTCAAACTATCTCCAAAGAAATATCCATTGCATCATTTAAGGGATTTGGGGGGAATGTGTTGTTTTCAGAAATAATTGCATTTGGGGACAAAATACAGCTTGAATATAAAAAGAAAGTAGTTAGTTTATGGTAAAATATATGTCAGTAAAACAATGTAAGGAATGCCATGTACAATGAAGGGAGCATTAGTAAGCCTGTTTCTGGAAACAAAAAAACAGGGAAGAAAACTACAGAGTCAGATAGAGAAAAAGAAATCTGATTTTGAAAAAAAAATTGAAAAAAAGAATGAAGCAAAACAGGACAGGTGAAGTTGAAAGCAAAAATAATAAATATATTGAGTTTTTCAAATATCTAACTGTTTGCTGCACTCAACTGAGTGTTAGGGGAATTTGGCCCCAATCCACCTTTGTGCCCTGGATATCATGTTGAAAGCCAGTTCAACCTGCTCTTCATGCAATGCCAAATCTGCCCCATTTTGGCTGGCTATCAGGGCCTCTGAGAAGCCAGGGCTCATCAGAGCATAGCTGGTAGCCAATGGATATGCCAAGAAACAGCTGTGTTGATTGTGTGGCCCTTGGGAATGCCTGGACAATGAACTCAAGAAGATGAAACCACTGGCTTTCCCTCTGGGAAGGACACCAGAACACTGTAGATCTGGCCCAGGTATTTTTAGAGACACGATTAAGTGAGGCAGCAGGGTTTATTTCTAAACTGAAAGATTATCAGTTTAAATTCTGAAATACAATTGAAACCACAAAATTAGAAGCCAGTTCTTTGGCTCTGCTGTAAGACCTGTCCTAACTGCTTAAGCCCAAGATTTTCTGGTATGGGAAGAACTCAGCTGATTTAGACTGGATCCAACCCTCCTCAGCTGAGGGAATACTTGACTTTGGGTTGTTTGGGTCAGTCAGTTATAGAGCAAACACCTACTGCTGCTTCAGGCCAGAATCAGAACCTCTCCCTGCAAAGGTTCAGATTGGTGAAGCTGCCTGGACATCAGTCCTCCAGGAGAGAAGTGGGCTGTGCTGATGTGGGGAAATGTTACATTAGGACTTCATTCGAGGACCAAAGGGAGGCTTGGATCTCTTCTGGCTCCATCCATGGCAATTTGATCGTTCTTGATATCATGAAAACTGGCAGGTTTTCTTCCCACCCCTGTCATAGCAATATTCTCATCCCTTCACTGAAGGGCTGTCTTTTTGTGCAGTGGTTTGGATTAAATTCCTTTTTGTTCAAGTATTTCTTTTTATAACTGAAAGCTGATCCTCCATGTGTTTTGCAAAATGCTCAACCTGCTTGAGTTTCTTGGGGAGATAGAGGGGTGATGTCACACACCACTTGATAAGGTTGAATCCTTTATCTGTCTGAACCTGGACACTTGGGAGGAATGGAAAAATAATTCCTCTCCCTTTCTGTATCAATTCCACTTACAATTTTTTCTCTTTTTAGAGAATAACAAGTCTCCACAGCAATATCCACTTACCCCTAGATTTTATAAAACTTGCTTGAACAGTCCAGAATTCTTGAAACATGGGAACCAGAGATGTGGAAAAGGCATGAAGGAATAGGAGGCAAGAGAGGTCCTTGGGCAATAAGAGGGATAAAAGACATGTAATATTCTTCCTTCCT